CCTCACAAACAGATATGGGTTGTTGTTAGAAAGTAATGGGCCATCCACATTCTGAGCCCCAGATTTTAGAGTTCTAAGTAAGATAAACTTACCACTGACTCATCGGGGAACAATATGTGTAGGACTTTTTACTTTTGTTGAAATATGTTTAAGTGTTCTGTCATTTTTGATGACCATTCAAATTTTATGTTTGCCACACAATCTGTGAATGTTTTGTGAAAACTCTAGTACATATGATGGTATGATTGTGAGTATCTTTTCAGTTTTCGATTTTTGAATAGTCTGGTTTTATGTTCTGCTCCAGTAGGTATGATCTGTTTTTGTATTACATGGGAGAATTAGCCAATTTTTGGAGTAGGTGATGAGGATGTTTGAGCTAGGTGTTAAAGAAATTGGGATCACAACTTCAAGATAATATGATGGATTAATGGTGGATGGCACGAGATCTAATTAAAATACTGGTTGTTGTGCACTAGTTCTCTATAAGTTGTGGTAAAAATATCTTGGCCATTTTGATGATTAAGGTGTCAAAGAAAGTATGTTTCTATTTGTTTTCGATTTCCACAAAAAATGAATGAAGAAGCGATGTTCACGATGTTTGCTTGTTTGTCTTTTTAGATGTATTTATAGTTTAATTTATTACTTTTATACTCTTTGATATTTTATACGTATTAAATGTATTCATTACCAAAATCCTTATGTGAGAATTTAAATATCCCAAAGAAATAGATATAATCGATAATAATTTTCATGCGCCCTTTAGCAACAATATATGTATATGCAATTGGTTTATATTTTTTAATGTTTTTCCAGTTAGTGTTGCAATTTCACCAGACGAAGAGTTTTTTAAACACCTGGAAAGCTTGTGGGTGAATAAATACTTATATTTCAATGTAGTCATTCAGCCAGTATATCCTTTTTACCCCCAATATATACCCCGTTTCAATGATATTAAATAATAACATGTAATACCATCTAAATAGTAAGTTTTCAAATTTTTTATCTGTTCTATTAGACACACTTATTTACTGAACGACGATAGAAAATTGTGTCTTGTAAAATTTTGTTTCTTTTATTTGAATCTCTCATGTCTTAAAAGGAAATAATAATGTCAGCATTTGTTTTGTCCAATACACGTGAAACACATCGAAAGTTTATCTTTCAGGCATTATAATAAAGGATCTCGAGGTGGAAATCACTGAAAACTTTACACTAAGATACTTACTTGCCTCATATTTCTCCTAAGAATCCTTCTTTTGATGTGATTTCCCATAGCCTCTTCGTTTTTAAACAGAAACATCTAAATATTTAATATATGTATTGAATTCAGATATACATACTTCAAAACATTTTGTGATACCATTTCAAGAGTACAAAATAGATAGAAAATAAGCCGAATCTATAACAAAATCTACTTTTAACACGTTGCATTTTATGAGCATTTTCTCTCAAAAATAAAATGCCACACAAAAACGTTTCCACCTATTAATCTAATCCTCTACTAACATAGTGTGATCGAACTTGATCTATGAAATTCCTGCCACGCAAGTGCTTGTTGTTTCCAGAAAACAGAATAAATATATTTTAATTGATATACACCAAGAGAATATACTTTTCTTTATCAAATTTATTTGAAAATTAAAAATGATTCTTGAATATTTTCCCGATATACAAATGATTGGAAGAAATTATTCATCATGTAAACAGAAGTAAGTAGCTCCTTGTGAAAGAGGGGTTCTTGTTAGTTGCTAAGTGTCAGCGTTAATAAGGAGTGATCCTATTTCTTGCCATAAGCACATTCTTGACGCTGTTACTGACACTGAACGATAATTACTCATATAATGTAATAGATTACCTATTATCTCAGAAAGCAGTTCCGATTTTAACGATCTCTTCTGCCTATCCTTCATAGAAAGCAATTTGAATAATATAAAATTTTCAGGGTTTCTTTTGTCTATCTGCCAGATGACATTCCAAAATGCCCAGAGAAGCTAAGTAAGGTTCAGATAGAGGCTCTTGACATTTCTGGACGTTTAGTCTCGAACTGCTGGACACAAGATGCGATATAGTAAAATACATTATCATACTTAAAGAAATGTCACCAAATGGTAGTGCAACATTCTTCAAGACGCTACGATGGCGTAACTTCTCTAACCATTCCCACTGTACCAGGTTTAAAAAGCACACCATGATACTATCCTCACCAAACTTGAGATAATATCATCATAGCCTAAGCGTCATCCATGTTGCAGTCAAATAAAGGCTCGTCCAAACAATCAGTAGCATACTGAACTGAAATACATAAAGGTTTTCTCATTTGTCGTTTATTCCACTTTCAAATTATAAGCACTTTGAAATTGACGTCTTGAATTCTCAGCTGTGATTACAACTTAAGAGCTGCAGGCAGCCTTGTCAAGAAATCCAATATGTGAAGCTTCCTGCGAATTGTACTCTACAGACCTGAATTCTAAATAAACGTCCTAGTAATGGATTTAACATTACTTATATAAGTTCGTTTCACAGCATGGTTGAAAACTTGCTTGAACAAAAATAATGAATTTTGAGTGGCCAGACTCACATTCCAAATTAACACATCCATTAGTCCTCGTGCAGATGAAATGTTGAAATAATTCACAGAGGAAAGTCCACGAACTTTAACTCCATTGCCTATGCCCTCCAGTGGAACAGCGGTATGTCTGTGGCTTTACAACGCTAGAAACCGGGTTTCGATATCCGTGGTGGTCAGAGCACAGATAGCCTATTGTGTAGCTTTGTGCTTAACTTCAAACAAACAAACAAACCATTGCCTAACATTGCAACTCCGAGTTGCTAACTGAGTCAATTGCAGGCGACTTCTGTAAACTCTATGCAACAGTTAATACTTTACCGTTAAAGTAAATCACGGTGTAATCAATAATTATGTCTACTTAAGAATGATAACATCAGTGATCGAAGCGTCTACTTGATTTAAAAAAAAATGTTCATCCTTGCTAAAAAACCTGAAAGTTATAACACTAATTTGAGCGGCTAGACAATATGGTTCGATATACTTTTTTGTTTTATTTGTTATGTATTATCATTTGAATATCTACTCAGTTTCATCAATATATTTTTTGTCGTTTTCTTTTTCTATTTATTAACGGTAAAGACGTTTATTTTATCATAATACGCAAATGTTTGCGACTGAAAATATAATTTTAAAAAAATCTTCCAAACAACATGGTACTTCTCAGAGTAACCTTATAGTACATGACAGGATGCAGGAAAAAATATACTTAAACAAGTCTGGTTGGGTGAGATGAATAAATCATTTGGTCTGCAAAAATGCATTTAGTTTTAGAAAACAAAACTATTGACTGCTTTTTATAAAATCTAATTTTTCAAAAAAGAGCACGAAACTATTACACTTCAGATATCAGAAATATGGACTTACCATGATTATGATTCCAATAGAAAAGCTCAGAAAAAGAAAACACATCAAAGGTACACGAAATAAAAGAGCTGCATCTGAATGAGAGTACCACAACATACTGAAGATAGTGTTTTCTATTGCTGTAACTGTCAAGTACAGGATGTAATCTCTCTTAATGGGTGCAGACTTGTAGTTGAAATAACACAGAAAATATTTTCTAATTTAATTTGAATGCTTATTTAAGTTATATAATGATATTCATCCTTTTTTTAGCTAAATTAATAATTGTTTATAGAATTCAAACTGTATTGAATTACAAAAAATATAATGTTGTGCCGTTATTGCTCTGAAAGTATTATTCTGATTTCTGAAAGCAATACAGAAGATTTCCTATTGTCAGCTGTAAGGGGAATTATTTCCACGTTTTATCCAGAAACACTACCAAAATTTTATGAAACAAAGAAATGTCATAACGGCAAAATTTTATATTTTTGTAATTCAATACAGTTTGAAATTCATAAAAAAATTATCATATTTAAAAATAACGCCTTGAACAACATTATATAACTTAAACAAGCATTTAAATGCAGACAAAAAATTTCATTTGTCCAGGAATTCTAAAAAAACTTAAGTTTTTATTTCTATAAAACAGAAATATTATCCACTTATTTGGAGAATAATCAACTCACTAACATTACACTAAATCATTTCAATTAGTATCTACGAAAAGAGAGTGAATAAGTGTAATATTATACAAAAAAGTTAGAGAATAGATTACTGTAGCGTCAACCAGTTGTTGTTCAGTTTATTGACATATTAAACAATTAATTAACATCAAATATTTCTGAAACACCATATATCGTGTGTTTGACAAAATTCAAAGTTTATTTCTTTGTTTGAATTTCACGCAAAGCTACACGAGGGCTATCTGCGCTAGCCGTCCCTAATGTAACAGTGACAAACTAGAGGGAAAGCAGCTAGTCAATACCATCCACTGTCAACATTTGGGCTACTTATTGACCAAAAAATAATGGGAATGACAGTCACATTATAACGCGAAAGGGCGAACATCTTCGATGACAGAGATTCGAACCTACAACCCGCAGATTGCACGTCGAGCGCCATACCAGGCCCAGTTAAAAAGTTAAAAAAACATCTACCCTTAGAATGTTCTAACTAACCTATAAATAAAATTAAACATACATAAACGACTTCTACAAGTTTAAAACATTTCTATCAACTTTTAATGTGTTGCATTGAATAAATATCTTTAGCGAAAAACCGAATGTTAAGGTTTTTCTGTACAAACAACTGAATCCAAAATGTTATCTTCCTTACAAGCATGCAATCTTTATTTCACGGCTTTTAACATTATGTATTAAGCAGAGCTGATACTGCTCAGAATTATGGTGTTTAACTTAGCGTGGTGTAAAATGAAGTCAAACCACTTCATGTACCAATATTCACAAACCTGATCTTGATTTTATTAAACATAATGATTGGTACAATAGATACCAACAAATATCTTTAAGAATTAAAATAAATTTACATATAATTAGAACGATAAAGAGAAAAAACATAAAACTCTTTACCAGTTACACTTGAAGATTCTACCGCCTTTCCCCAAATTTATGGATATTACAAAAACTACCCGCAGTCCACAGTAGATACCAAATACTTCCAGATTGAAAGAAGCAAAAAGAACGAGCGCCGTCATACGGGAAGCAATGCTGAAAAACTGCCATAGGAAAATAAGAATTTTAATCTTCGTTTTAAAACACAGCCTGTGTTCCATAAACAGCCTATCGTAATAGCAGACCAGAGACCAGGCCAAGGATAGAAGAGATGAAACTATTGACACGATTCGCACAATAACTGGAAAAAAAGAAGAAAGAACAAATTTTAACGTAAATTTCTTACTAGAAGTCAAAATTGAGTTAGTACCTACAAAGCTTGCTCGTTTTGTTTACAGTAATTATTAATCATTATATTACAATTGCAATTAACGATCGATATCTAATGTAAATGGAACTCAAAATCCTAAGTATGTGTTATCTAATTAAATGTAAGATTGTTTAGATTCATTACTACTACTCAAAATAATATATTTTAAGTTCTTAATATCAACTCATATGCTTGCTAATTAGGTAATAAAGTTACTTAGATTTTAATGGAAATTTACTAAACTACCTTGTCTTTGTTAGAACAGGAAATATCTAGCTTTGATTTTTTTATATTAACTAGAAACATAACACCTTCTTAACACATTCTTAGTCAGAAATAATTTAAAGAATATTTTGTAAAACAAAATAAGATTTGTTTTAGGTATAAAAATACATCAGGTCTTACAGTCTTTGTAGGCTTGTCCTGTAGGGTACAAAGCATTTCTAGGGATAATCCTAATCTGGATGAACGCTTGAATTAGCAACTGTGGAGCAGCCTCCATGAATGATTCAGCTAATCGCAGTTCAACAGCATTTAAGAAGCAACTGCAGAAGCGATCGTAATAGTAGTTCCTACTTTCTTTGTTACTCCTCTGGAACTTAATCCCATACCAAAACGCCTCGAAAGTTCTAATGAGAGAAATAAGTCATGTGAAGTATAACGGAGATTATTTTCAGAAAAATACCAGGGAGGAGTGCATCGAATTTTTATATTCCATTCAATTCCAAAACGTTAACCAAATCACACGATTTTAATTATTGTTGAAATATTATTCAAGTTTTGAATAGCTTTTACTAATCACACATTTCAGTAACTATTCTGTACTATTGACCGATTTATCTAATAGTACAAGCAAGAAATGTGAAAGAAGTTCTAGGTAAATATAAATATACAGAAATTACACTGTAAAAAAGTTGTAAACTAACACAAGCATTGTATTCACAAAAAAACAGACTCGTTGGAGTTATGATAAAATTTATTTTTTCGGTTTGTCCGTTGTTAAGCACAAAATTACACATTGGACTATTTGTGCTGGGTTCTCCGAGAATATCGAATCCCGATTTTTAGCTTTATAGTATTGTGTCGATTTAAGCGCCGAATGATGATGGACTATTTGAATCCAATATATACAAAAATTGTTTATACAAATGAAGTTAAGAACATATTTTTTAAAATGATATTTCGATTTGTTTGTCCATTGTGGCAAAGACTTATAGAAGAAATATTACATATGAAATGCTGTTTTTTTCAAACTCCTGATTTTGAACTACAATGAGCAAATTAAGAGCAATGTGAAAACAAGTCTCCTCTCAACTTAATTTTTAAAACAATTTTAAGACCTATTGGTTTTCAATACCTCACTGACTTTCGTCGTTCAAACCATAACTTTTAACTATCATCAGATTATCTGAATAGCGTTTCTTCGAGTTTTCTGTAGTAAAGATCGATTCTTCGACTTTTGTGGCGATTGTGACTATTGGTAAAGTCATCCTATTAGTAAGTTTAACGTGTTTTATTCGCTACAAATGGTTTATCCAAATGATTATTTTGTCTGGACTATTAAACGTTCAGGGTTTCTATCTTTAATTGTATTGACCGCATCCTAGTTTACCTGCTGTGGCAGATCGTCAGAGTAGAGATGGATTAGAAACGTCGTCTCTTACCAGATACTGTGCTAAGCCCTATTACAGACTCAGCAATGGTTCCAAGAAATCCGTGTCGTCTAGTTCTTCTACTGTACAGACAGCAGCAGAGAATGTAGGATGATCTAGTTCCAGTGTAAAAGTCCATAAAGTAGAAGCTGCTATCACGCATTCCTTTTACGAAGTCCCATTAGAGCATCGATTTCCATTCCTCCTTCTGTTATAACAATGCCAAACACTTCAGCCACACCATCTTCTAAACCTCGTCCAACCAGTACATGTTTAACATTGGCTCCGATGGATACGTGTGCTGTACCACATTTTTCCCGTGTTTCTACTATCTCAAATGGAGACCTCTAATCGAGCAAAGTTCCACCAACTTATACCACCTCTTATAATACCTATAATTCTCAGACGTTTGACATCCTTTATACTAACATGGAAATCACAAACATGGGTTTATAGAACTAAAATCCAGAAGTTGTAAAACAACAGCCTCCTTCTTGTCAACTCCACTATTTTTGTGTTATTCGTGGAATCAACTATTTCATTTCTGAAAAAGAACTTTTAGAACTACTAAAAGACAATTTATCGATACAGCAAGCAATACGTATTAATAAAGTTCATGAACCAACTTTATGATTTGTGTTTTAGCACAAAGCAGTGATATGATTAACCACTTTCTTCAATTTGTTGTTTTAATTTCTAAACAGCGATATAGAATAAAATATTATAGGACACCTCCATCCTAACTTTTCTACTGGTAAAAATGCTTGTCCTACAATATTCATTCAACAGCAACGTCCCCTAATAAGCCATTCTGTCCACAATCACGGGATCCTCATCAAGTCAGGCAATGTACTAAATTGGGTTCATCCTCCATTTGCAATACCTGTCAGCTAGAACATCTCACATATTCCTACAAATTCCAGGGGGAACTAACTCCCAAACCTGATGATACCGTTAATGTTAGTTCTGTTGGAACTACCAATCTAGTGACCTTCGTACTCACTATATGAACGTCCAACAATTGAAGATATTCTCAGAAGTATTACTATTGTTCTATAATTATTCTGTTACTTCCTCACAAACCAGCCTCTTTGGAAACTTTACTAAATGGGAACCTCATGATTTCATTGTCCTCAACGAAACTTTCCTCAAGCTAGCACTAAAGGCAAAATTGTATGACTACAAGTTCCATTGCTGGGACCATCCTTAAGGTATTAACAGAGGTGGCTAGCAATCTGAAGTCGTCTCAATCTACTCTTTCGTATTCATTATATTCTCCAGAGCACTTTCTGTTTTTGAAGTCCTTATTCTCGCCGTATACTTTCCTTCCAGAATCTTCACACTTGCTACAATATGTGTTCGTTCTGACATTCCCTTACCTCATGACCTCTTCTATTACTTGGATAGAAATTTCACAAGTCATATTATCTTGACTGACATCAACTATTATAGTAGAACTTCCTTGGAAATCACTTAGTTTCAATTTACTTTACGTAATATTGCTGGATCTATGTTTGGTCTTCCTTCTTCAAACCATTCACATCAAAAGCATTCCCATTCAGCTCTCTTACACTTTCAAATATCTCTGTGTCATCTTCAAAAAACATCTAACTTGGAAACCCCAGATGAAGGCTCTCAATCACAAGACCATTCAACGTGTCAACCTTTTACGATGCCTAACGTGAACCTGCAGGGGTTTAAATCCATCTTTTCATTTATAGACATATAAGACCTTTGTCTGACCATGTATTACATATGGTCATAATGCCTATATTTCTGCTTCACTCACCTTTTACACTTGTCTTCTGGTGATGATCTCTACTACTGAATGACAAATTTCTTTCTTGGAAAGCGAGTTGTTGGCGAAAAACGATAGATATGAAAGGCTATTTTTACATAAACATCTGATTTTGAGTCACATTAGAGGAATATTAAAAAAAACATCCGCAGTTAATCTGATTTTAATAACAATTTTTAGACCCATTGGTTTACAATTTATTATTGTAGCAATATAAACCCACAAGTTTCTTCTACATTGTAATTACACAAACGCCATGTGGGTTTTAATTGAAAACTATATCTATTCCAATACACAGTTGTGTTTAGAAGTCGTACGTTTATGAAAAATTTCTGCTTGAAACATTTAGTAGTAGCAAATAATGGAAACAACATTGTTCATCATCTGAGATAATTTTTAAATAATGTTTTTATGTAGTATATTACTTTTAATTCATGCTATTATACTTCTCAATTTACTAATATTATTGTGGGTATATAAATTGTATAAAATTAAACACAAATATTTTGTATCAGTAAGCACATTTTTCTTCTCTTTTGTTAACCCACAATGATTGTTTTTAACATAAAATAGTGTAGTAGCCATTCAATATTCCACTGTACAGAAATTATGTTGGTTTGGTGCGAAAGTCATATGTTTGTTGTATCCCAGCCGACCTGATGAACTCTAGCATTAAACTAAATGTGTCTACGGCAAGAGACATAAACTCTAATTCTCAGGAAAAACCCTGGGAGACAGAATAATGTAATGTTTGAAAAACAATAAACCAAATAATATTGTCTTGTGATAACTTGTGTGCTTTTTAACACAACTTTGTTGTGTTGTTATATAATTTAAACGATGTTTATAAGATAAATTCTCCAGTTCCCGTGATGTCTTTGAAACTTCTTTTTTAATTGTTGATTGTGCTCAGTCTGATGATCTTCATTACAAACTAGTGCCCAACACCGCAATTTCCATTATTAGAGGTTTACACAAATCTACTTTCCAAGACCACGTTAAACAGACAAAAAGCATAAAGTTTATTAGAGCTAATTCAGTTCTTATTAAAACAGCCATTGATTTTGAATTGCAGCTGGAAGCTTGAGAACATTCGTCAACTTCAACTGCTCCTTTACTATCTTGTTAGCAGTACCAGCAGATATGCCCAGCTTTGCATGGTTCGGGAGATGTGTTGTTCTTTTTTGTAAGTTTAGCCCACACTTTACAGCTAAGCGCATTTCACCCAAATAGCTTAATGTGTGGTTTTCGGAGACGGCTGATTTCGCTTTTTAAGTTGGGTTCTTTGTCTTTATATTATTTAACAATTGTACGTAACCCCCTCCCCCACCAGCTACATATCCACTTTTGATGGCGATGTTCAGATGATTGATCGAGAAAAATGCATAAATATTAAATAAAAGAAGTATTCAAAAACGTTATTTGTGTAAAAGAGTTTAAATTCCTAGTAAGCCATCCTCATGTTTCACACAAAGTGTCAATGAACATCCTGTCTCAAATTATTAGGAAAGAAGATTTTATGAGCACATGCTATTTCATAAATTTGCTATTTGTAAACCCAAAGTCACACAATGAGTTGTCTGCTCGGTGCCCTACAAGGGTAACGAACCCGATTGGATAAGTACGTATTGAATGTACTGACTTGAGGTATCAACTTGTAGTTTTGATGTTCAAAAAATACTGGTTTGGCACCTACGTACAAATTTTCCTGAATGATTAAGGACTCTACAATAATTCCCCTTGATTTTTTATTCTATTTCCAAACCCTTCAACATTTAAGCAGCATGGTTTGGGTGCCCATTCAGGTTTGGAGATATAATGTGGTAATATGGGTGAACAATTTTCCTTGAGTTTTTAAAGTTTGGTGGATAATTTACCTGATTTTTTTATCCGTTTTTCAAATTCACTGACTTTAAACACGAAATTCATGTGCGTGCAGGTTCTGACATAAAATGGGAATAATTTTTCCATTTCTCTGCTGTTATTTTTTCAGGTTTCCGAATTTTTAGCCACCCCTAAATGTATATACTGGATACAGTGGGAAAACAACGTCCATGCATCTTATGAAGATTCTCAATGTATAATTTTAATACAATATTATATACTATTGTTTATGTTTCAGAATGTTTATGTAAATCTATACCTAGTCTATGTACGTATAGCCATCCATAATTTTGCACTGACAGTCTAAGGAAAAGTTAGCAATTCAACACAACCCACCGCCAATTCTTGAGCTAATATGTTCTGACAGAGTAATGAGATGTGATCGTGAACTACAGAACCTCGAAGTCACAATTCATAAACGCTAACCACTCCTGGCCAAACGTTAAAAGTGAAATAATCATTAGAAAAAATAAAGTATGCACAAATTATTGTATTAAAAAGTTATTTACACTCATAAAACTTTGGCTTAACTTCACATTGCATTTTCATTTATGTTTTCAGCTCTATCAATGTCAACAATATTCACTGTACGTCAGAGTTGTAGTAAGTACTTTACTTTATAAAATGTAAACAGAACACTAATGAACTTAAAATATGTTAAGGTGAGTTTCTTTCATTCGAAATTGTTTACTCTAAAAAAGTTGTTTATTTAATTTTTAATGTTTTTGTTTTTTTAGTTACTTTTATTCTAAAATTACACGTTTATATCTAATAATACATGACTACAATTTACATAGGATCATTTACAAATGAAAACCCGTATTCTTTGGCTTAGGTTACCGTTTACATCATAATATTAAGACGGTTCAAGATCTCCTCTCACGTGATAGATATACATCTGTATACCATGTATATATAGGTAAACCACGCTACTCTCACATGATAGATATACATCTGTATACCATGTATATATAGGTAAACCACGCTACTCTCACATGATAGATATACATCTGTACCATGTATATATAGGTAAACCACGCTACTCTCACATGATAGATATACATCTGTATCATTATATATAGGTAAACCACGCTACTCTCACATGATAGATATACATCTGTATACCATGTATATATAGGTAAACCACGCTACTCTCACATGATAGATATACATCTGTACCATGTATATAGGTAAACCACGCTACTCTCACATGATAGATATACATCTGTATCATATATATAGGTAAACCAAGCTACTCTCACATGATAGATATACATCTGTATCATATATATATAGGTAAACCACGCTACTCTCACATAATAGATATACATCTGTATACCATGTATATATAGGTAAACCACGCTACTCTCACATGATAGATATACATCTGTATACCATGTATATATAGGTAAACCACGCTACTCTCACATG